ATCTCCAGGTCCCACCTGGAGATTGGCAACCCTAGGGGAAAGTCTGCTGCACAGCAGGGGGTTGAAGAGAATGGTTTGATGGCTGCTGGGCCAAGATTGGCAACAATAGTTCCCCAGGAGCAAATAGCTGGGTTGGAGGGTGGAGTCTATGGCACTGTAACCTGTCTGAGGTCCCCCTCTACGGGCTCCACTCCTCAAATCTCCAGGAATTTCCATACCTAAAGCTGGCAACTTTATCTCCTCCCCTCTCAGCAGCCTCTTATTTTGCCTTAAATTGGTTTTGATGCCAGCAGAGTGAGAAAATGCCAGAGGCTCTGGGTGGGTGCCCCATTGTAAATGCACCAAACAATTCCTAAGGGGAGGGGAGTTTGAGGTGTGGAATGTAGTGAAGTCCAATCAGCTTCCATATGCAAAAGACCTTGAAGGTTCCATACGCAACTGACATTCCAACTGCCTTGCGGGGGGGGGGGGGTGGGGTGTGGAAGGGGGGGAAGTCCAATCAGCTTCCATATGCAAAAGACCTTGAAACACTGGGCGGGACTGCACAAAGCAGCCAGTCTTCTGCCAGCGTCTTCTGACTGACAGTTCAAGCATCCATACACTAAAGGGGCCAACTTTAGAATTTTGGCACCCACTACTCTTTTATTATAAGGGAGAGATATGTATGTAAACCACAAGGTTACCAGCTTTTGAATTGGCTTCTGCTGCTCTGCCATTAATGGCAGATTTATATGCTGACATGTTAGCTGTGATTCCCCACTCCTCCACATGTAGCTGCTGGCATGACCTTGGGTCAGTCACAAGTTCTTTCAGAGCTGTTCTCTCACAAGCAGTCCTTAAAAGAGCTCTCTCAGCTCCACCTACCTCATAGGGTGTCTGTTATGGGGAGGGGAGATTGTAAGCCGCTCTGAGACTCCTTCAGGTAGAGAAGGGCAGGGTATAAATCCAATCTCCTCCTCCTCCACCACCTTCTTCTTCTTTGCTACAAAAGGGCATTTTGCTCTTGCCCAACCTCAGTTTTTATTTTTAAAAAATTCAAATTCTCCTTGTGTACCTCTGAGTAGTTAATATATGCATTTCTAAGGTTTTTCAGCACTCTCTTATGTGGGCTTAAAAGTATCAGTTCAAAAGCAGGGGGAAAGCCCTGAGGGAAAAGACTAACATATTCCAGGAAACAAAACTTTATATGTGTGTCTGCAGCTGAATATAAACTGAATTTTCTAACAAGAATTCAAACTGCCGTTCATTGTTCATCCCAATAAGACTGATTTTTTTTCCCTATGTCTTGCAGCATATCACCAATACTTTGAAAAACTAGGGCTGTTTCCTTTCACTGTGGCATAAACACAAATACATCAGCATGAAGAATTATTTGGCAGCCAAATCCTAACTATGTTTACTTGGTAGGGTAGCCAACATCCAGGTGGGGCCTGGAGGTTTCCTGGAATTATGACTGATCTCCAAACTATAAAAATCTGTTCACCCAGAGAAAAGGGCTGCTTTGGAGGGTGGACTTTATGGCATTATACCCTGCTGAAGTCCTACCTCTTCCCCACACTTTGCCCTCTTCAGGCTCCACCCCCAAATCTCCAGGAATTTCTGAAGCTGGAGTTGTCAACCCTACAACTTGAAAATAAGGTCCATATATTTCAGCACAATGAGTTTTGCCATAAACGTATGTACATCCGGATCCACAGTTAACAGCGAATATCAACAAGTAGTATCCAAGGTAACCACAATACAACAATAACATTGTAAAAAGAAACACACAAATTATTGATGTTAAAACCAACAACCAAACAAGCAAAGAGCTTACTAAAGTAAAGATAAACGTTTCTCTCAGGGGTCGTTTCGTAGAAAAAGAGCTAGGGGAACTCATTAGCATAACTCATTAGCATATGCCACACCCCCTGACATCACCGGAAGTGTGTCATAAGGCAACACCCCCTGCCATCACCGGAAGTGTGTCATAAGGCCACACCCACCACTCAGTTAGTCTTAGTCTTAAAGGTTAGTCTTAAAGGTGCTATTTGAACTCTTGGACTATTTTGCAGCAACAGACTAACACAGCTACCTCGGGGAAGCTCCTGGATGGGGCTGGGAGTCCTTGCGGAGGCCACGTGGAGTGGCCTCGG